TAAAAATATGAACGATAAAAAGATAAACGAGCTAGGGTATCGGGAATAATCGCTTCCAGTTCTACACACATTTAACGGCAATCAATAACTCGGTTAAAAGGCTCGACTAATTAACTCATTTAGCGGTTTAACCTCAATACGTTTCCGAACATGCTGATAAACATAAATGAGCGAATTAACGAAATAAGTAACACATAAACAATACGTCTCCGAACATGTCTACTCTAAACGAGCCAAATTCCACCAATTTCTCCCCTCTCGGTTTTGAAATAGGTTATCTTTACGACTTCTCCCCTTTCGGTTCTACAAGTCTGCAATTCGTAGCTCAACAAATAAATATTCAATCACAAATCAAAGTGTCACTGTTTGATTTTATCAATAAGTTAACCTAAGTGTCACTCTTAGGTTATAACCATTTAACGAGTATGATTTTATCAATTCATAATTAAAACAACTCGTCAAGATTGAGCTATCGTCATGCACGTAAACGAGAACAAACCGGAATGATTATCCCTTAACCCTAGCTAGAGGATTAGCTACTCATAATTAACTTAACACAAGCATTCACATTCAATAAAGCCATAATCATCATACACTTAATGAAAATAGAACTTACTAGTAATGTGAATTCCAATGTCAAGCACAAAGCACAAGCCAAATCCAAGATACAACAAGTCTCCAAGTTGCTCCTTCTTACAATATGACAAACCAAAATAAAAACTTAAGAGAAAATGGAGAAGAATATGAAGAATGGTGAAGAGGATGGTGTAGAAGGATGATGAAGAGGGATAGGGGAAGAACCCCCCTTGGTTCAAGGATGCATGAATGGTTCTTTTCATGATCAAGAGGGCATGTTCTTATAGCCCAAAATCATCATTTCCAGGTGATTATTGTCCCTTAAGTGCTCCAGTACCGAGTTATTTCCAACTCATGCCATGTTTTGTGGGAAAAAGATGAAAGTTTTGTCTGCCAACAGGAGCTAGCGCCGCTAGGGGGGAGCTAGCGGTGCTAGGGGGTGCTATCAGCGCTAGGGTATGAATGGCCGAGGTTCTGAAGTCCGCTAAGGGTAGCTAGCGGCGCTAGGGGGGCTGGGCTGCATGACTTTGCGTTTCGGGATCGTTTGGGCTCGTCCGAACTTGGAATTGAGTTTCGTTTTTTCCTATGTGTTGCTAACGAACTCCTATATTCAATGATGCTTGATTGGCCAAATTATTCTTGAAATAATATTCTCCCAAAGCTCTTGACCTACACATTGAACGTGTTTCGCGCGACTTTGCGTTTTGGACCCGTCCGGACTCATCCGAACTCAAAATTGGATTCCGCTTTTTCCTATGTGTAGCTAAGGAACCCATCTATCCAACCATGATTTCTTGACCTGTTTTTGAGCTAAATTGATTCCTTATGGGGCTTCCGACCTGCACACTGAAAACAAGAAGAAAAACGTAGAAAAACGACAAAATACACGAAAAACATATAAAAAGCTAAAATAGAACAAAACACACAATAAGCTATAAAATGAACTAACAAATAGACCTAAAACGGGAGAAAATGAACGACAAAATAGTACAGAAAAACGTAACAAAAATGGTCACAACAGATATACATGGAATTGGTAGTTGAGCCAAGATATGATTCATTCCTCGAATACAGTTTCGAGAGAACACTCGTTTTCTCTATACTGGGTTGATAAAGTCATTGGCCAATGCACGTGATTATATTTGAAATAGTGTTCAAAGATAATTGATAAAATCAACCAGTGAGATGAGATAAAATGATTAAGCTGTTTGGATAGACACACGTTCAAATCCTAAGTTTAATCCCGAGTGGTTTGTGAATGAAGGGACCGTATCACTATTGAGTTCTACACGAAAGGTTTTTTTGCTTGTCCATGTAAACATACTTCATATTTTGAGTTCGTCCTTCGACGCAGTCTAGGAGTTTCGTAAGGATCATAAATTAGATTTATGTAAATATATGAAGGCCTATAGGGTCACACAATATGCAATCAGTTTTCCAGCTAAGAGTGAATCGAGAGTGTTAAATATTCAATTGGATTGAAATATTTATTTTTGAGTAATGAGATTATTTTCTATTTGATGGAAAATATTTAATTAAGTTAAATTGGATTTACACTTAATTAAATTATTAATTGAAAAATAATTAATTAAGTTAAATTGGATTTATACTTAATTAAATTATTAATTGGATTAGGTCCAATTACCTATTGGGCTATAGGGTTTCCTAAGGCCCATATGATTAGGTTTGACCTAATTATAAATATCTCATTATCTCATTCATAATCTTAATCGATTAGATCGAATCATTAGATGAGAGAAGATGAGAGACACATCTATATATATTGAAAAAGAGAGGTCAATAAATCATTTGTGGAAACTTTTAAAAAATAATGAGTCAACCATGTTGACATACTAATTATAGCAATCTTATAAAAACTGATCAATTTGAAATTGTGATACTATATTGAAATACGTTCAATTTGAATTTGTGAATTTGTGATTCCATAATTTACGGGATGGTATATTTTGTGCAGATCAATCCATATTTATCTTCAACAAAAAATCCTAACCATGCGCCGGTATTAAAGCCTTATCAAAATCTGTACAAAATCATATCTACTGCCTCTCGCTGTCTCGCATCTCTCCTCTCCCAAAATCAGATCTGAACAAGTCAATAGAAATAATTCTCCCAAAACTTTTCTCCCAAAATCAGATCGAAACAGATCACATCCAAAATAATTCTCCCAAAATCAAACTCAAACCATTTCTCCAATTAAGGCTCGACATGAGGATATAGGCACGGTCTTCTCCATGCTCGATGAACGGCGATTGCAACAGCAGCCGGAAGGAGCTCATCGAGGCACTAGAAAATCTCGAGATCTGCGTGCTAGAGGAGAAGCTGCAGGCGATGATCGGGTAGATTGACGCCGACGGGGACGCCTAGGTGGACGTTGAGGAGTTCGGCGCCTTGTACGAGCAATGGAAGACGACAGAGGCGACGTGGGGGACGGCGATGAAGAGGACGTGCGGGAGGTGTTTAGGGTTTTTGATCGGGACGGGGCGGGTTCATCATGGCGGATGAACTGAGGTCGGTGCTGGCGGCGCTGGGCTGAAGTAGGTGAAGTCGCCGGTGGAGTACCGGAGTATGATCGTCCGGGTCGACTTAGGTGACGATGGGAGGGGCAACTTCGGCGACTTACGGATTGCTCCATCTCCTAAACCCTTTGAGATAAGTGTTTTCAAATTTTGAAATCCTCCAAAATCGGTCAAAATCGGTCAGTTTGTTTTTCCTCCCGATTCTCCCCTATTTTTCTCTAATCATCCTTTTATATTAATTAGAGCCTGCATGTGTGAAAAAGAAGAACAAAGGGCTGAGGGGATAGAAAAAATATATCCGTATGCTCTGTGAGTTGAGTTGAGGAGAAAAATATGTGAGTGCTCTTGGTGAGTGCTAAGTATGTGTGAGAAAAGCAAATAAATCAAGTGCATGTTTTTCGAGAGTGAGTGTACTGGGAGTGAGTGGAAAAACCATAGTGCTGTGTGTGCTTTGTGAGTGTGAGGGTATGAAATAAAAACAGAGAGATTGAGAGCATAAAACATTTGGTACGTATCCATGTGAGAGTATTTTGGGGTTTCTTTTGTACGAGGCGTGTGCTAACGAAATTCGGGTGCCGGTGGTTCTAATGGCCATGGCCCGGAGCTAGATTCTTTGTGATTTTTGTGGGTATAATTATACGAGGGCCTGAGCCTGTGTAATTAACACTTCACGTGTGGCTTTCGAATTCGTCTACGTAGAAGAGTGTAGTCGTTCTCAATCTCATCATCTCTTGATTAATTTTAATTTATGTTTATTAATCACTTTTAGTTTTTTGTTTGTGGCTGCAGTATGCACACTTAAAGTGATGCCATGGTGATGGTGATTAGTTTATTTGATTGTTGAAAATCTGCCCCTTTGCTACTATTTCTGTTTGAGCCTGTAGCAGCTGCTTCCGTGACTCATTGGCTGCTGTCCGGGACTGAGTGGGGTCAGCCCGGGACTGACCAGGAGCTGTTCGGGCTCTACCGGACTGCACGTTAACTCAAAAGATTAAGGGTGCTTCAAGCGGGCCTTGGACGGGCGATACCCAACAACGAGGATCAAGATGACGGAAGGCATTAAAGGATGCTAAAAGTTTGAATCTTTTGTCTTGTGGATTATATTTGTGGTTCACTGCATGGAGTTAGCAAGAGAATGCATTCCCTATTTTTTAATGTATCTGAAGTGGGTGCTTTTGTATGTATGGTCATGTTCTCGCATTTAACATGAAATTTCTGATTTCAGCATTTCTTTAATGTTTCATCTTGATGTAGGATCCAAAGGAGAAAGCTAAATCAGAGACAAGAGATTGGTTAAATAATGTGGTATGCCCCTGGAACTTTGCTAGCATCTCTTTCACTTGGGTTGAGTAATTGAATTCCGATATCTGTAGTCCTAATAATTTGATTATTCAGGAAGTGAAGCTGAAGTAAACTAAATAAGTCTAATTTGTTTTTCATTCTGTATTTTGGTTTATTTTTTGAGTTGTCTATCTCAGAGCATTTTTAAACCACACTGAAGTTTCATGTCATTTAAGATGATTTAATTGAAAGCTTAGCTATCACAGTAATTATCATGTAAATTATGATGTAACCTCTCCCCGCTACTTCTTAAATATGCTATCAATAGTTATGGAGTTGGTATGTTCATGTTGAGTAGGTTAGCGAGCTGGAAAATCAAATAGATAGCTTTGAAGCTGAAATAGAGGGACTTTCTGGATTAAGCTTTAGATTTGTGTTGTCTAAACGTTGACCGATATAGAGTATGTTGTTTTTCACGCCACGGTCGACACATCTGAGGATGCGGCGTCTGATATTTTTATAGTTTTTTTATTCTTTACAATTTGAATTCTGTTTATTTATTCATTTATTTGGGCCAATTAATGGTTTGGTTATTTGAAATCAGGAGTTTTCATTAGACATGTGGACAGGACATCGATTAGCTCCGAGCGCGTATTTTTTTGTCTACAGGCCGCCATCGAGAGAAGGCATCTAAGGTGTTGTATGAAAAAGAAAACAACAAATCTATTATTTTTAGCAAGAATTTTTCTGGTTTAGTTAAATTAACCTTTTCTGCCTTTTATTTTTTAAAATCATATAGGGTGTGACTTGTGAGGCTCCAGCTGTGTGCGGACGATAGAATAGATTTGTTGGCAGACATGATGCGGAATTTTCCTGAAAATGGGATAAACATCGATCGGGTCGAGATATCGACAGCCCGAAATGTATTCTATGTACCAAATGCAGTTGGAATCCTGGCCGACTGGGAGATCATAGTCTCGGTAAGGGAAAAGATTTGTTTGGTGAATCTAAAAATTATAGCATTTCTTTCCTCGTGTGGGCGGAAGATCGAGAGGGAGGGTTCACGCATGTTGATGTCGCTCGGAGCATGGTGGGCATGAGTCTGGATTACTTTGGGCTGATTAAGTCTTAAGCTGAAAGAATTTGAAGACACTTAACAAAAATGTGTGCTGGGAGGGCATGGCTATTGGCATATTCTTTTTTCAATGGTGATAGACATTTTGTACATAGATTTACAGAACAAAGAGCTGGTGAAGTTAGTTTGGATTGTAAATAGGAACAAACAACAGAAATGTGGGATTGATGTGGGGGACTCCTCCCCTATTTTCCTTTTTTTTTTTAAAAAAAAAAAATCTTGATTTGTGGAAGGAAGGAAAAAATTGAAAATGGTAGATAGATTTGTGGGTGGGGTCTGTTGGCATAAATAGATGAAAATCGAAGTTAGTAATCGTAATTGTATAAATAGAGTTTTTATTTTATCCTAATTTTTGTTGCCCTATTTAGAAGATTAAGTGTGCTACTTTGTTTTAGAGTTAGTTTAGTTCTCAAAGTCCTGGGAGCTCATAAATTTTTGAATAAAAGAATAACGCGAAGCATAGAAGTTTTTTCGACTTTAAATGTCTGGTATAATCCAAAAATTGTTGTTGTTTATATTATTTCAGGTAATTTGATGGTTGATTTTCAAGTATAAATATTGATATTTGAGACTGTCTGACTACCAATGGTTATTCTTTCTCCATCTTTTATATATAACTAAAAATCCCAGTTTTATAATAATATCTGTTGAGTAAAATGAAATAGTTTTTTTTTTCTTCCTTTTTTTGACAGGTATGGAGTTGTAATATATCCCTGGAATACCATGGTACAGTGTGTAGAAAGAATTGAGCATTTTTGTGCTTAAGTGTTGTGAGTTTGATAGGCAATCAATGGGCCTTGAGCAGGCATCGAGCCTTTTTGTGCTTTAGTGCTGAAGTGTTGTGAGCTTGATCGGAAATCAAGGGGCCTTGAGGATCCCAAAAATTCTTGCACCAGAGACCATGTGTATAAAATAATTTGAAATGAAATCTTATTCTAAAAGGCTACTAATTTTTCCATCTTAGGCCAAATTGTAGGAAAAAGAGCCGGTAAATGTTGTAACTGCATGAATATGATCTCTTTCGGGTTTTATTGAAAACATTTAATGCCTTAATATATTAGAACATACGCTTGGATTATGTATTTGTTTAACAAATACCCCACTTGCAATTTGTAAAACTGAAATAAGCATGTGGAGTGTCTTCAATCTTAAAAAAATAATTGGGCTATGAAAATGGATTTCGTTGTTTTTAAAATCTCCATCAATTTATAGGGGTATGGCCAGGCGCTGCCTCCGAGGTATAGGTACCAGTTACAGGGGGCGTACGGGTAGCCTCAGAAACCTAAGAAGAATAAGGCAGGGATGGTAATGTTAAAAATTTTCGTTATCCATAAGTGTTGGCTCCTCATTTCCATTTGATGTTACGATTGATATTTAGGAAACCAATTGCAGATGAAAATATATTTTTTTTTTTTCAGTGAATGAAAATACCAACTTCTCATCGCCAAAATATTTTTTCTTTCGAAAGTCATGACAATTCCTTTTTAAAGTCTGGATTCTTACCGTTATTTTTTATCTTTAACGATCATATTGATTAATTGATTTTAAAAAATAAATAAATCAAAACTACAAGGTTTAATAATATTTCTAATAAAAAATATTGTGTGAAAATAAGTGTAATAATATATGATTATTCATTGTTTGTCTTTATTTTATTTCCATAATAAGACGAGGTGTGAAAAATATAAACAATTATATTTTATTTCCATTGAATTTGCATGAACATTCGTCGTGTAATATCAACCAACGAGCCCTCTTGCGGAATTCATAATATGTTGTTCTCTTATAATATGGGATGAAGCTCCAATGATGCACAAACATTGCTTCCAGGCCGTGGAAGAATCGATTAAGCTGTAATGGGAGCAACTGATCCATCGAACAAGACCAAACCGTTTGGAGGCAAAACATTTGTCTTTGGTGGGGATTTCCGACAGATCCTTCTGGCTATTCCAAAGGGTAGTCACCAGGATATTGTTATGCCATGACTATTTCCGATTATGGTTTCTTATGCCATGACTATCAACAAGAGCCAAGGACAGACGTTATCGCGAGTTGGTTTATTTCTTAAGGAACCGATGTTCAGTCATGGTCAATTATATGTTGCCGCCTCCCGCATCACCAATCAAAGTGGATTGAAAATATTAGTCTGTAATGACGATGACGTTCCACTAAATCAGACCCAAAATGTTGTGTACAAAAAAGTGTTTACTAATTTGTGAAGTTTTTGTCTATTTTACATTTGTTAAATATTTACAAAGTGCATTAAATTTAATGTTAATATTCAAAAGTTTCAGAAAAATATACCATCCCGTGCATCGCACGGGTCAGTACTAGTCGTAAAATAAAACACTCTCTAGCTTTCTGGATCGAGGATTCCTAGCTTCTTCACCGGAAGGGATTCATTGGTGTTAGATCGTGCACCGGAAAACTGGATTGAGTGGATACCATAGTCGAGGACAAAAGACGAATAATTGTAAGTTTTCGTGTATCATTCACGCGATCTAGGATCATATCGAATAGCTATAGCCGGATCTTCATTGTTGGTTAAGAAAATTTTAAAATTCCGCTGCGCGTGCGATTGATTCGTACGTCGAAAATCCAACAGATATTATGGGAGGGAGCAATTGATCCTTCTAACAAGGACAAACTATTTGGAGGCAAACCAGTTGTTTTTGGTGGAGATTTTCGACATATTCTTTCCGTAATTCCGAAGGGTAGCCGTCAGGACATAGTGAATGCTGCGATTAATGTTTCTGACATCTAGAGGAGTTGTATTGTGCTCAGGCTTACAAAAAACATGCGTCTTCAGAGACTTAAAGATTCCGAGGAACGTGAAGAGGTCGCTCGGTTCACTGAATGGATTGCGAGCATTGGTGATGGAACTACAAGAGGGTCAAACGATGGTTGTGCAATGATTGACATACCTGAGGATATATTGCTTCAGCCATCTGATGATCTGATTGCTCAAATTGTAGAAAACACATATCCAATGTTTAAGCAGACAACCGATGATCCCAGTTATTTAAAGGACAGGGCAATATTAGCACCGACGCTGGATGTTGTTAAGTCCATCAATGAATACATGACATCGTTGAATTTATCAGATGGTAATACGTACTTAAGTTCCGATAGTACTTTCAAGTCGAACTCTAATAATGATTTTCTTTCTGATATCCATACACCCGAGTTATTGAATAGTATCAAATGTTCCGAAATTTCAAATCATCAATTGCATTTGAAGATTGGAACTCCCGTCATGTTGTTGCGGAATATGGATCATTCTATGAGTTTATGTAATGGGACACGGTTGGTTGTGACAAAATTCTCCGCTCATGTTCTTGAGAGTAAGATACTCACTGGGGATCACGAACGCGAGATGGCTATAACTCCTTTCGATGTCAGAATTCCTTTCAAGTTCCAGAGGCGACAATTTCCCATTATGTAGACATGGCCACGGGCCGAACCGGCCAGTGGCCCGAACCGGCCCGTGGCCCGAACCGTGAACCGGTACCGGCCCGGACCAAACCGGCACCGGTACCGGCATGAACAGTACACGGCCCGTGAACCGGACCGGGCCCAAAGCGGTCCGGTTACGGTTCAATGGTTTTCATTTACCGGTCCCGACGGGTCGGGATGGGCCGGGCCGGGCCGGGACCGATTCCGGTTTTTCCGACGGGTCGTAGTTCATTTTTTTTTTTTTTTTAACCCGGCGGTTCAACGAACCGGCCCATAGGAATTGCCGGGCCGGTTACGGGTCTAACAATTGAGGCCCGCCGACCCGCCGGGCAGGGCCCGAACCCGGCACCTGGCCATGTCTACCATTATGGTTTCTTATGCCATGACTATCAACAAGAGCCAGAGACAATCGTTATCACATGTTGGTTTATTTCTTAAGAAGCCGGTGTTCAGTCATGGGCAATTATATGTTATTGCCTCCCGTGTCACCAATCAGAGTGAGTTGAAAATATTAATCTGTAATGATGATGATTTACCACCAAATCAAATTCAAAACGTTGTGTACAAGAAAGTGTTTAGTAATTTATAAAGTTTTAAATTTGTTTTATCCGTTTACAATTGTTACATATATAAAAAAGGCAGTAAATTTAATGTTAACATTAAAAAAATTTCAAAAAAATATGTCATCGTGTGTATCGCACGGATCGCGACTAATTNAATTCAAAAAAAAAAAAAAAAGAAAAAAAAAAAAAACAAAAGTACCCAATTTCGCAACAGCTACTACACAGCTAACTAAAGACCAAACTACAGATCCTCCAGTCAAGCCTGGAGCTTTCAAGCTTTCCCCGTTTCTTCAAGCAATTAACTTCTCGCATTTGTCAATTTTTCTTAATATTTCTTTTCTTTTTTTTCTTGTTAATGAAAGATTGACACATTGCAAGAAAGGTGCGTTTTTTCTTACAACCGCTTTCTGTATTGACATCTCAACAATCAGTCTTCGACTCTCCTCCTACCCGCTAGAAACCTATTATTTAGTTCAAGTAAATATAAATCTATTGTTCTCCTGGAGAAGATTCCTCGTGGAGGATATTTGGGTTTCTTGATTTGTATTTATATTTATCTGTTTGATTCAGTAAGGTGAGGGTTTTGGGGGAAGAAAATGAAGTATCCGAGGTGGGTTCTTACTGTGTTTCTCTATCTTGCGATTGCTTCGGGGATTGAAGCTTTTAAATTTCATAGGACGGAACGAACTGAGAGAATATCGGGTAAGAATTTGCTTCTTAATTTGGGTCTGTACTTTAGTTTTTTCTTTTATTTACTTGGGCTGGGATTTGATGGTTTATTGTGGGATCATTTTTATTTAATTTCATTTATCCGTGAAATTGTTGGTTTTGATAATGGATTATATTCTTTGGTTTCACTTGGGAATGCTATGTCTGGCTAATTCTTGTGTAAGTTAAATGTTATGAGATTCATCTAATTTGCCAAGGAGATTGCAATGAATGGACTATTATGTGAAATTCATTTGCTATGATTGGTATAGGGAAGTTTTAATGTGTGTTATGGTTCACTGCTCGAAAAGAAACAAAAATTACAGTATGTGTGTGTGTGTTTTCTGCTTTTCGGTTTTATTATGATCTACTCATGACTTAGCTTGTCATGGATTAACATCTATTTTTTCTTAACTTGGGTTTACCAATATATCAAGTTATACCTCATAATTTATTGTTAAATTAGAAATATATGTAGCTTTGTTTGCTGGTTTAAGAATACTAGAGTTAATCGTAAAGTTGTTAACCATTCTTCTTTTTGTTTCCTCACTAAACCCAGATATATAGACCAAGATGATGTGTTCTTGTCATATGTACATGCTAACCAAATAATCTGAAACGAAGAAAAAAAAAAATATCATTGAAATTAGTATTCGGACACCTACGTCAATGTTTTCAGTTATACGAGCTTCTGGTCTTTCCATGTTACTTGCATTGCTTTAGGCTTGATTACTGGTTTCTTTGGTGTGGTTATAGAACTAATTTAGGTCTCCAGATGAGGCACTGAAAGGAGCAGATTTACAGTTATTTGATGTATGCTTAAAGTTTCATGAAAGCATTGAACTTTTTTTAATGTTCATGTGTGAGTAATTGGTGCCCCGTGCTGTAATATTAGACTAGTTGTAAAATTTCCTCCTTCCGGTGTCCAGACTATGTAACAACTAAAGTAATGCTTAAATTGCTCTTAAATGGTGTGGGTGAAAGTTTTAAGTTGAAAATCATTACCCAACAATTTTTGTGAAGGTGGATTTAGACCTCACCGAATGATGCATTCTATATTTATGCGACTCTTTCTATGAACCAAGTTGTGAATTATGATCTCACCCGCGGGAAAATCCTGCCAAACTTGCAATATATGTTTTGTTATTTAGAAAAGTATATCCCTTTTTATCTCGGGCAAAGGTATCTTATATATTTAACACATTAGTATACAAACTACAAAGTATGTGTAAATATAATGTAAGTTTCTGCTACACTGCATGTACACCACTCGACTCAAAATGCAATCTTTCTTTTTAATTTTATTACTCGATTTCAAGAAAAATAAAGTCTCGAAAATGCACGTGGTTGACTTGACAATATTTCAGGTAGTGCTGGTGATGTCCTTGAAGATGACCCTGTGGGGAGGCTAAAAGTGTTTGTTTATGAGCTCCCGAGCAAGTATAACAAGAAGATATTGCAAAAAGACCCAAGATGCCTGAACCACATGTTTGCTGCCGAGATTTACATGCACCGTTTTCTGCTATCAAATCCTGTCCGCACGCTTAACCCAGAAGAGGCAGATTGGTTCTACACGCCCGTTTACACAACATGTGACCTCACTCCAAATGGCCTCCCATTGCCTTTCAAGTCACCACGAATGATGAGGAGTGCTATACAGCTCATTTCTTCAAACTGGCCGTATTGGAACAGAACAGAGGGTGCTGATCACTTCTTCATCGTGCCTCACGATTTTGGGGCGTGCTTTCACTATCTTGTAAGATTTATTTATTTCTTTATTGTTATTATTTAATTTTTGTTAATTGGTGTTTGGTGTTTCCTTTCTATACTCTTAAGTGAAGTGCTTAGAGCATCTCCAATGCATAAATGTTGTTATTACGTAAATTTTGACAAATGACAATTAACTAGATGGATTGTGAACCACATAAGGTAATGGTTAAGTTCACAACTTTTAAATTTTAAAAATTATCTCCAATGCACAATGTAATTAAACACAATATTGTCCACTTTGGCCAAAATATAATAAAATATCTATAAATAAGAAAGAAAATTAATTAAATATATATTTTGAAAATGGTAATAATATTTCTCTCTTCTCCTCTTTCTCCTCTCTCTATTAGTTGACTGAATGTGAAAGAGAATGTGGATGAACCACATTCTTCTTTACATTGTATACATTAATTATGTCCACGTCATCACTACATTTGTGATAGCATTGTGCATTGGAGGATTAAAAGTAGACACATTGCTAAATTTGTTTATTTAGAATGTAATTTACTACAATTACATATCCATTGGTTTGGGGTGGTGGATTGCTAATTTCAAAATAATAATTATGTGTACCATGTGCCTCAAGGTTTAACCTATTCAGTGTCAAAGTAAATTGAATCGATAATTGCAAAACAATAAAAATGCTTGTGATTTTGGCTAATTGTTTTGGAATTACAAAGACCCCCTTGAAATTTATTTCATCTCCAGACTTTTCTTGCGGACTTTGACATGATTTTTGCTTATGGAGGGGGGAAATATTGTATAGACGTGAGATAATTTGTTTTTGGGGTGCATCGAATACTTCTGATTAGTTTCTTTTTCATTTTTTCTTTCTTTTTTTTT